AATTTGGTAAGAAGCCAAGGTATGTTGTTGTTCATTTATTTTGCTATATATAAACCACTTGTCTTCTTCTTCTTTGTTGTCCCTGATCTTTCACTAAAATAAACTAATTATTAAATTTACCACAATGGCACCATCTAAGAAACGTTCCCCCCTAAGTTTGCCTTCGATAACTTGCGAAGGTGAGTCTTCAGGAAGCCAGCCGCAAGCCCTCCCTCTTACACTGCCTACGCTGACCTCCCAAGGCCAGCAACAACCTGCTCTCCCACTTCGAGCACCTCAGAAAAGAAAGAGGTCCAGAAGAAGACAACCTCGTCGGATACCGATTGTTGCTGGCTTACCTGCTTTACGATCGAGAATTCTCTTCATTAGCAGGCAGGAATCTATGTGGCTCCCACGAGCCTTCATAATTCCTAGCTTTGCACGGTCAGTATCTCTTCGAATGAATGTTGATACTACGGGTATCCCTGTTGAAGTTGTATGCGGGTCTACAATGGGGATGTCGATACTACCGACTCTAATGATGAACCTAATATCAGGGAACCCGCGCCTGATATTGATATGGACCTTCTTGAGCATCCAAATATTGAAGAGGAAGTTCCACGACATTCAATATTGGTGAAGAGTGAAGAACCAAGTGATCTTGGAATTATGTATGAGACTGCTGAAAATGAAACCTTCATGGGAATCTACAGAGACTACTCATCGAAGATAGACGTTATGCCTCATCAAATTAACTTGTTCAAGCTGGGTAACCTTATTGCGCGCCATGCTACACCAGCAACTACGGGTCTTCAAAATGGGGATGTGTTGTTGGTCCATGGATTGGTGTTTCTAATTATTTTGTTTTTATTTTAGTACTCCGTATGTTTTGTTTAAATTAATTATCCCAAAATTGTACTTAGCTACATTTTTATTAATTTTTTTTAAATCAATTAAGTCAAAATTGCACTATGCCACGGTGTGTTGTTGTTCATTATTTACAAATATTTTATATGAGCAGGTGGGGGTAGTCAACCTTGATACAAGAATCAAAAAGTTTTGGATTGTTGATATATCGAGGGATCCTATTGAACAGAGGGTGAGAGGTTGTATCCACACTTCCATTAATAGGGTGTTCTTTGTGTGGGCAAACAAGATTGGAGCTAACCCATCAAACATCACACTTATGCATGAGAGGAAGTACTTAAATCAAAGCCAGACCGTGAGCGATGACGGGATTCGTAACAATGATAAGGTGGTGGCTTTCAACAATGCTTACTAAGTTGGTTGGGGACTAGGTCCACCCTTTTTGAAATGTTAAGGCAAATGAACCTCGAAAACTATGGACTCCATTGACATCCACCTTCTTTTGCTGCATTAAATGGTGGGTAGTATCCTTGTAGGTGTGAAGTTGATTAGATGATTTATAGTCTGATGTTAGTACACCCATAGGTGTTAGTAGTCAACTTTTGGTTAATTTGGATATTATGTCTTGACTTTTGTAATATATTATGATGGGGTTAATTTAGATGGGATGTTACTCTATATTTTGATAACTTTGCCTTTTGTGATTGTCATTATTATGATTTTGTTTTAAATATTTGAATCTTATTGTTAATATTTTAATTTACATTATTTATAATTGTAACATTAAAATTTTAAATGAAATAACTCAACTGTGGAGTAACACAATTGATCTAAATTAAAGCCCCAGAATTTGAAATAAGTACACATCGTATTTTTGTGCTAAATTATTTCATTATGAAATTGATGTCGATAGAATTTGAAATAATCATTTACAATACTTTGGGGTAATAGTTGAGTTCCGATTAATATGGTTAGTTTGAGTTCCGGTGAATATGGATTGTTTGAGTACATCATATTTTTGAGTACATCATATTTTTGTAGCATATTTGTTATTTAATTGATCTTAAACTAATTTTGGTAGCATATTTGTTATTTAATTGATCTTAATTTTGATAGCATATTCATTATTTAAATGATCTTAAACTAATTTTTGATTGTTTGAGTACATAATATTTTTGTAGCATATTCGGTATTTAATTGATCTTAAACTAATTTTGGTAGCATATTCATTATTTAAATGATCTCATAAGGAATTTAAATAATAAGTGATCTCGTAAGGAATTTAAATAATTATTTACAATATTTTAGGAAAAAGTTGGGCCTTTTGGCATTTGGCTAATTTGGTGAAACGGGTTTAAAACCAATTTGGCCCATTATGATTTTGGCATTTGGCTAATCTGGTGAAATGGGTGTAAAAGCTATTTGGCCCATATTTAAATACAGTCCATATTTAAACATATCAATTTAAATACAGTCTATATTTAAATACAACCCATATTTAAAAATATTTAAATACAAATGGGTACAAAATGATGAATAGTCCATAGTAGTCGAAAATGTTAGGAAATCATTTTGCCCATTACAATGGATATATAAGCCCATTACAATTAAACACCCCATATGGCCACCACATCAGAACTCAAATGAATGGGTTGGAGATGACACATTAATCACATGTTTATATCGTTTCCTTTTCACGACAGTATCTCCATCCTTTTTTGCGCGCTTCCTATTTCCATTATAGGCTACTGCAGCCTTGCCTCCGTTACACCTCTTACCACAATTTTTTACCACAAAATAAAAGGTAACAAAATCATAACCCAAATACAGACACATAACACACACAAACATAAACATAATAAACAAAATATTAACGAAGTAACTGACTTGATTCTTGGGAAGCACATTTGGAACTTCATGTCTACGTGAAACATTTTTTTTGATAGCACGCGGTTTAAATTTAGGCAACTTGAATCCTGTCTCTGCGAAAGATTTGTTCCTACTTCCCTTAGGCCGACCCCTTGGTCTCTTCAAAGTCTTTTGATCCTTAACAATACTGGTGTTGGACTGGAAATCTATTTTTATCACCAAAAGGAAATTCTGATCCCGTAGCCTCATGCCCCATCACGAAAGCTGATGTAGAAGTACTACCATGTTATTTCTATTGCTGTTAGATCCAATTTAAGAAGGTGGAGGTAATTCCGAACAGTCAATTAATTGTCTGTTCCAAAACTTCTCCCTGCTTTCCTTGACATCAATTTTCAACTTAGCTAAATTGTTCATCACAATGTCAACTATTGCATCATCGACTGTAGCTACATCATCAAAGACAGTCTCATACTAAGACAACATCAAGTTGAACCTCTTCACTTCGATACTTTTGGTGGGGTCATGATATGGCACTACGACCCGGACATTCTTCCTTGGAAAGTCTTTCCTCCACCGATCAAGGATGTATTTCTTAGGCAAATCATTGACGTAATTTTTATCAAGTACACGAATGCAGTGTTTGCAAAGGATGCCAAATGTTTCAAACTCGCAACAGTCACATTTTACTTCTTTTGTGACAGAATTAAATGTCATAGAGTACAACCTTCTCATCTCCGTTAGTTTTTCCTCGCTAAAACCTTCGGGAACAATCCAGAAACTATCCTCCAATAGATACTCCCAATTAGTTTCATCTAATTGTTGATGAAAGTGATGAACAACGTACAACATGCGTGCGCACTCCTGTTGCACTTCTTGAAATTTTGCATCGGTATAAAGTTTTTGGAATAACTCTTCAAGCCTAAAACCACTCACTAGCCTCCTCACATACTTCATCCCCTTATCATTTGCAGTTAGGGCTGTGCACCGGTCCAAAACCGGACCGGGACCGGAACCCAGAATCGAATTTTTTTGGGGACCGGGACCGGATCGTAATCAACCGGCCTTGGTTCTGGTCCAAACCTGTTTATTCCGGTCCGGTCCGGTTTTTGACCAGAATGGACCGGTTACATTATTTTTTTTCTTTTCATTTTAGTATCTTAATATATACATACATCTTTAACGTCTTGTTTTTGTTTACGTGTTTTCCTATTTTACACCTATAATTTATAAATTATAAGTTTTGTTCCTAAATTTTTAGAAATTTAAGCATAAAATTTAAAATTTTCACCCAAAACATTACAAAAATACACAATCCAGTCCATTCCGGTCCGGAAACCAGAAATCCCCAATTTGTGAGGACCGAAGGATTCAACCGGTCCAGTCCAGTCCAATTTCGGTCCGGTCCCGGTCGGTTTACCGGTCCAGGTCCATTTTTGCACACCCCTATCTGCAATTGTTTCATCTTCAACACGCTTCTCCATAGCTTTGCAATAATGTTGTGGAAATTCAAATAATTTTGTTTTCCTTGTAACAAATCCATCGAAAAAACTGTTAATGCTTTCCACCCGTTGGGTGGTCTTCATACCTGCCCAAAACTAATCTTTCATAAGGCTGGCACCCCCATGTCTCTCTCATCATATAACCCCTCCAACCAATCATTTCCCTCAAGGTTATACTCTTTCATTAAAGAACGCCAACTACTTTCAAAGTCTTCCGCCGTAAAGCTCTCGTATATGACGGCCTTCAATTCATGGGATTTTTGAAATCATGGTATCCGCTCAAACATTACAAATTTTATGTAAAACCAGGACATCATTGGAATTGATCTATATCTCTACGTTTATCCCTTTTTCATTTTTAGATTTCAAGATTAACCTCGTGATTTTATCAATTTCCTAATTGATATTTGAGACATGTTAGATCAAGTATTAGATTAGCCTCAACAAAAAATGTATTTCTTTCCAGTTCATTTATGTGTGCTTAAAAAAGACAAATGTCAGATGCATGTTCTTATTTATGTATTATGACAAGTTAAATTCTTTCAAGTTTAATAATGAGCATACAACTATAGCAAATACCTTAAAAATATTAAACTCTAACTCACAACCATAGCAAAGAATGAACCTAAGACCTCTCACCACAGACATATGCACCATCTTTGCCTAGAACCGGGCATAACTTCAGCCAATGCTCTACGCATTGCAGGTGCTTGATTAGTGAATATTGCCCCGGGGTGGTTTGTTCTTCATGGCCAACAACCAATGCTTAAACACCTATATATATGTCTATGTGGTTTCATGAGAGACAAGTGCACATCCAAGCAGGATGGATTGGCCGTGATGGTTGACCCCCACAAAATTAGCCAACGACAACTCGTACTCGTTCGTCAAATACGTTGCATCAAAGCATACTGCATCACCAAATTCCTCATAAGCAACACAGCTATGAGCATCAACCCACATAACGTCTTTCAATCGACCCTCTTCATCTAACCGAATAGCATGATAAAAATTTTGGTTGTCCCGTTGCATGTATTCAAAGTACCTCATCATGGCTGCAGCATCTCCACCTTGGATTTTAAGCCTCATCTCCTTGTACACCTCATGTTGGAGGTCCTTAACCTTTGGCATGTTTTCAACACCACCATTATCCACAACCAAGCAACCATAGATCTTTTTAAGAGGAACCCCAACTTCATAATAATTTAGGCACCTCCTCCTCAATTTAGCGGTGTAATTCATCATACGATATTCTTTGACTAATTTAGACAAATCAGGGTTCACCTCATGCACATGATTCAACTCAACCTTCCTAACCTCCTAAGAACCTTCTACAGTAACAACGACATATAACATTGCAAGGCAAAAGCATTTTGTGTTAAAGTTGGAGTTTTCATTGAACTTGTGTTCATGTTTCCAACTCCCTTTTAATTTGTCAAAATATCATGATTAATTTAAATTAATTAAATGAATAGTGAGTTATTGGCCTTATTATTTTATTGCACCAAGTTAAACAAATTTTATAAAAGAATGGTTCTTGGAAATACTTTTGGTTGTGTGCACTTTTTATTAATTTTTTTATTAAAGTTGGACTTGTTTAATTTTTTATTTTTGCTCACTCAATTGGTTCTAAAATTAATTTAGAATTAATTATTTAGTCACCAAAAACTCGGATTTTAAATCCCGAGAGTGTAAAATGCAAACCAAGGCTACACCCCTCGGCTATCCGGGCTTCTGTGCAGCCCGAATGTGGCTGCCGAGGTGGGTTCTTCCTGGTGCACACCACACAAGGGCAGCATGGCTAAGTGTGCAGCCTCACAGCCGCACAACAACACTAGCAAAGCAGCAGCCCGCTGCGACTGTGCGTGCGTACGTGTTGCTGTGTTGATGGGGCTTCGTGGGTAGCTGTGCAAGCTTGGTGCGAAGGGGAAAGCAACCGTGGGGCATGTGCCTAGCACCAAGTAACCCGTAGCAAACGCTACTAGGTTTGACCTATCTAGTGCTACGCGGTGTGGTGGTGGCACATGCGCCAAGCCGCATTGCATATGGCACGCAAGTAGTGCGGTTGCCTTCGTGTTTGCTTATTTTGACTTTTTAATTATTTTATTAATTTAATTTGGTTTTCATTTTTTTAATAAATGTTGGAGGCTAGACCTCGGTTTTTGAGCGGCATTTGCAAAATTTTATTTTGGTAAATAATTATGTTTACCGGCTTAATTAATAGGATTAATTAAGATGGATGCGGAATTTAATGGGAGCTTCAATAATTAATTGCGTTAAATTACATAATCAATTAAACAACTTTGAATAGTTTTAATTAGGCATGTTAATTTGATTAAAGACCTAAATTAGTTACTAGTTTACCCGCGTTTTATGAGTTGTTGTTTGTTTTATCATTGTAAAATGCATGGGCCATTCACAAATAGTAAATGGATGAATGGAATTTATATTCTCTCACAGGTTTTATGAAATGGCAACTAGTGGGGCCCGATTGTGATAGAAAATACGGACTGCGATCCGTGATGTATTTTTGTAAATCTAAATACGGTCTACAAACCGTTTAGTATTTTTGTACCTTAATATTTAGAGTAGTCCTAATCGTAGATGCTAGTATTTGCATAATTATGGTCATGTCTTGAAGACAGAGGTTCTTGGAAGATGAAGCCATGAAGTTGCAAAAGCCATCCCTTGAAGACTTGAAGATTCAAGGGGTCATAGTAGTTGCCAAATGCATCTTTATTCATGTTTTTGATATATCTTTATGGTCATTTATATATGAATTATATGTTAGATGTTCGTTTAGGATTTAGAATTTTGTGATGATTAATTAAGTTCACTTAAATCAACCACCATAGAAACCCTATGTCCCTAAAATGTTGAGTAAAATTACCATTAAAAACAACACTTATTGACCTATTGAGAGTAGTGATGGGCTACGCCAAAGCGAGGCAGCACTATTACTCCCTAGTATTCATAAGGCATACCGGGTATGCAAGTTAGTTTTGGTTATATTAACAATATGAGTGATGGAGTCCTAACATGTCGTGGCAAAGTGGATAAATTGTTGAGAGAGAATTAGATGCGACGATTTATTCAACCATGACTGGATTGGAGCCATTAGCAAAGCGTTGCTTACGTTAGGAGATTGAGTGTTAAGACAAGCCAAAGCATGCTTAACCACTCTTTGTTTCTTCGAATCTTGGAATCGACTTATTCTCATCAAATGGGGACAATTTTAATGTGTGAATAAGTGATGAGTAACATTTATGTCACTCTTAGGGAGTAGATTTAGAGTCATTTTCATGTTTATTTTCCCTAATTTTCCGTTTTATTCTCTTACTTTCTTTTTAATAAAGTTTCTACTTTATTTCTTAGTTTTAGTATGTTTTAATTTAATTTCTTTATATAATTAGTTTCTAGTTTGTTTTCATATTTTATTTGCTTTCGATTTATTTTATTTCATTCTTTTCCTTTGTTACTTTCATAGTTTTAATTAATTTTAAGTTTATTTTATTTACTTGTATAGTTTTATGTCTTTATTAGTTTTAGTTTTATTTCTCTTATTTCTATTTTACTTTTATTTATTTTTATTAGTTTAGTGTTACTTCTCTTTTTCTCTTTTATTTTATTTATCTCCTTTTTATTTATTTTATATTATTTGTCTCAGTTTCACACTTTTATCCTCGGGTTTTTCTGTGTGTAGGTTCGAGTTCAAGGTCCAAGTTAAAGCTTTTCAATTGACACCACAATCAAGCACAACAGCCGTAACAACCACCAGCTCCACCTACAACCTTCACCTTTCCACCAATCACCCCCGTAACTGATCGCGAATGGAAGTAGGTCGTTGGGACTACTAACCCTAACCAAATTAGAAATTCATAATACCTAAACTTACACTAAACTAGTTAGTGGCAAGTAAAGGGTCGAACCCAAAAGGACTAAGTGTATTAATTTGTGCAAACTAGACTACTAGGAAAGGTCGTGAGATAGAGAGAGATTAAACCAAACACTACTAAGAGAAAATAACTTAAACTAGGGAAAGTGAAATCCAATCACATCAATGTATTAAACAACATCATACAAATAGATGAAAATGACCTCGATTAGGAACATCAGCACATTTAACTCACTCTCGCACAATTAAGCACGTTAATTATTCTACTAAACTAATTCACTCTCGTGCAACTAGCCTAGCAAAGGTATGGAAGAATTTAGGGCTCTCAACCAACTCACTCTTGCACAATTGAGTGAAAGCACAATTAAGAGCATAGAATCGATTATCTAGAAAGATTCCAATCCATAGAAGCATCACCCATACAATAATCAAGAAACAATTTCATACTAATCACAATCAATCATTCAATTCATTAATATAACCTTCATCCAATTCCCTAGAACAAAACCTAAGTTAACGTAATGAAGAAAGACATGGAAAACAAGGTAAAATAAGAATAAAAACAAGATTAAACAAACAAACTAATTAATCTACTCAAATCAACAAACAAAAAGCAAAAACTAAGAATTAGGCAAAGAAATAAAAATGAGAGAAAGTTATAAAATGCTCACTGAATAGATGAGAAGAAGTTCCACAAAGTTGCTTCTTCAACCTCTCAAAAACTCCATTGAAATCCAAGCTTTCTCTCTCTACACTACTCCTAAACTAGAGAGAGAAAATCCTAATCTAACCCTAAGAGAGAGAAAATATAGGCTAAACTAATCTAATCTATCTAAAATAAAATGTTGATTGAAAGTTGTGAGAAAATAACCCCGAAGGGGTATTTATAATACAAGTTAAATAAAAATAAAATAAAATAAATAACACTAATTAAAACTAAATACAAAAAACAAAACTAAAATAAAATAAAATAAAACAAAAGGAAATGGAGAAATAAACCCAAAAACCCCCTAAAATACCCACTCAAACCCACGAATCATCAGACCCCCCCCCATTCCCCTTTCTCGTGGGTGCTTTGATTCTCATCCTCAATTCCATTACTCAGAAGCCGCATGCATCTTCAACCTTCATCGAAAATCTTCATCAAGCAAAACTAAATCGCGGCCGTCCAATTTTCATTAAAATCACGTGAAAAGCTCGTGATTGACCCACATTTGCGCGCCCGCAAAGAAGTCGCGCACAGGTCGCGCAAAGCTACTGACTCAACTCTGATTTTGGACTCCAATTTGTGCGCTTTCTGACAGGGCTGCGCGGCTGCAAATTGGTTGCTCTGTGAGTTTGGGTGTTGGGCGAATTGCGGCTGCAATTGTTGTTGTTGTTTTGGTGGCTGACTGTGGTCTTAGTTGGTGGCTGACGGAGGTAGATTGGAGGTGAGTTCGGGTGGTTGTTGAAAATAAATAAAATAAAATAAAGAAAACAAAATTGAAAATAAAAGAAAATAAATAGGAAAACGAGAAGAAAATTATTAACAAGAATTTAGACTAAGAACATAAGAAACATAAATAAATTACTAAATTAAACTAAAAACTATAAAATACTCAAATAATAAGATAAAAGATGAGAATAAGAAAATAATAGAAATAAAGGATAAAATGAGCTTAATTATTGAAATAAGCCGGAAAAGTATTCAATAAACACCCCTAAAAGTGACATAAAAGTCACTTAACAAACTCCCCCAAGATAACCTTTTGCTCGTCCTCGAGCAAATTAACATGAAACACGGGAGGAGGAGAGTGATTTATTCAAGCAAATCTAAGACACTAAAGGAGACAAGAATGTACACTAACTCACTTTCGTAGGAATCACGGTCAATTTTAGCAACTAAAGACAAGCCCTTTAAACCCCTAGATCGCCCAAGAGGACGAGTGTGCTCTCGTGAGGGTGTCCTAAGAGTTTAATCCACAACTCTAAAAAAAACCAAGGCAAGGCAATAAAAAGAAAAGAAAAAGAAACATAAAAAGAGAAAGAAAACACAAAGTTCATATTTTGACAAGAGATAGGAACAAGCACCAATGAATGCAAACCTTTCTATATAGACAAATGTATGCACGTTCCAAGATGTCAATGGTTGATTGAAACATAACATATGCTAAGCATAGAGAACTAATGGGGACACAATCCACCCTAGCCCCAACCGATCGGGCCGCGTTCTCTCCACTAGGTTCAAATCAACCCTTAAGCTAGCTTCTCATGATTTCACAAAGGAACCGGAAAAAGATAAAGAAATGAAAAACTTTGAGAAGGTAATCCCGACATCTCGACTATGCATACTCTCTCCATAGGTTTG